AGAACGCGAAACATATTTAAAGCTGAGTCTCTCACATTTCAGTCGCTTCCTGCAGGCGCCACCGTGCTTGCCTGTTCGCGTTCTCCTTGTCCGTCTACGGGTTGTTTTGAATTGGTGAATAGTCGCCATCGGACGTTGAATACACCCTGAGGGAAGTCTGAACTCACGTGCATGTACTCCATTGCACGGTTCAGACCCCATTCCGATGAAACTTTCACATTATACGTGAGCGAAAATAGTTAATTTGCTCCATTCGCCTCAACCTTACAAGTGTGTACTATTTAAACTAACAACAGAAGTTTGTGCATACAAATGGGGAAAGAGAATTTGGGTCAGGACTTGGTCAGCCAGTGCGTGAGTGTGTTTGACCCAGATCAATGAATGTGTGGGACTGGCTTGAGAGTCGTAGGGAATAGAGGTACTGACGGTAAATATTGGTGAGGTATTCCTTTACCATCTGATCCAGTGGAAGCAGAATTACCAAAGACAGTCGAATCATCAGGAGCTGAGGGAAGCATCAACGATAGAAAGAGGATAAGTGCCAGTTTAATGCCATGTTATGCTATATTCCTCACAGTTCCCATGTTTCCCGAGGATGATATGTGTTATCTCAAGATCATTCTGGCTGTTTGGTTGTCTTTGTAATCTGGACTTTGTATTCTGGAATCCAGCTATTGAGATCTGGCATCTACTTCACTATTATATATATGTATATGTTGTATTGATTACATGCATTCATTTTCATGGCTGTACTCATGTACATCCGAGTACAATTCGCCATTGTACCCTGGATCCATCGGCTCTGTGGTTAAGTCGATGTGAACGCTTTGTAATGCCAGGATGCCGGGTTCGATCCCAACTGCGGGCCATGCGCCTTGCGTTGGTTTCGACAGTGGTATCAAGAAAGCTGACCGCCCAAAAAGCCATGGCAAACTACTGGACATTTGCCATGAAAAACCACACAACAGCCAGGGGCTGTTGGGGTTGGTTCTGCAACGTCCTGTAAAGGATACGCAACTAACCAACCATCCAACCCTGGATCCAGTAAGTATTACTAAAGAACGAGCAAAGTCAAAGATGTCACTGCTCACGATGTTGCCCCCAGCCCTACGGTTTCCAACCTATTTCATTTTGTATTGCAGCCATTCACGTCTAACCGCCTCACCTTTCATTAGTGTCTCTTGGTTTCATGTTGATCTTTGTTGTTTAAAAAAAAAAAAAAAAACTTCTTTGAGACTTCAACAATGAATGCACTGATGAAATCAAAGTAATTGCTCCAGGCCACAGACCGCACCAACTAAAAGTCGCCACGAAAGCTTTGTTCACAAACCGAGCACACACACAAAAATGGCACAGCAATCATGTAACTGACAAAGAATTTCAATTCTGATCAAATATAAGGGAAGACTGTTTATATATATTATATATATCTATATATATATATATATATATATATATATATATATATATTATATATATATTATATATATATATATATATATATATATATATACACGCACACCAGGACCGTACGAGTGACCATATATTTATATATATATATGTCTTTCTAGACGGTAGTGCTATTTTGCGCTGTGACAAGGCATGGGACTTACAGCCCATGGCATTGGCGAGTATGACTAGCAAGGCCTGCTTGCGTTAAAAAAGCATACATATACACACATATATATGAATATATATTTGGACGTTTTAACGTGTTTAAAAAAAAAAAGAAAAAAATTAGGAATAACAAAAGTGATACCTGTTTGAGTGACAGAGCCCGGGCAAGATCAGATAAAAAACCGTCCACTTGACGCCGGCCCAATGTACTCTCCTTTGGGAGAAAAAAAAATTACTGCCAGTAGTTATCTTTAAGGAGAGGTAGGACGGGGAGCTGGTTATGAAGTAAACCAGATATGCAGAGAAAACAACCAGAACATTCCTTTGGAATACACAACAGGTGAACGCTAAGATGAAGATGATATTGATTCTACGCTGGCTGCTGAGGATGGAGACTGTGCGCTTGTGGGAATATCCCAAGTGCTGTGATGTCAGATTCCCACCCTAATTCAACTTTTCAGAACACTGGTTGCCAGTCAGCGAGGACCTGCAGAAACCTCTTACCTTTTTAAGGTCTGTCTGAGACCCCTTACTTTTTTTTAAATTAGTCATTGATAAAAAAAAAAGGTAATTTACTAATATTATTTCATGAACTTATTGTCTCCTACTGTTTATGCCACCAAGCGTCGAAGACAGGAAAAAGTTACTGATTCCTGTATTTGGCAAATGTTTAGCTTGTGGTAATGTTATACTGTGTTTCTGAAGTGCCATTTTTACTCCCTCCATCCACATCTTTCTTGGCCGGCCTCTTGAAGTGTAGCTTGCTGTTCTTACAGTGCCTCCTAGCTGCTGGCTGATTAGTTTCAACTCTGACTAGATGACCAAACCATTTGGTTTCTCTGATGTTTTATGAAATCATTTATCAGTAGTGTACCTAGCATCATTTTTAGTTCTGCGCTGATGACCGTCTCTTGCTTTATTTTCCCCGCCGCATTTCTTATACATCTCATTTCGGTGACACGATCTCAATTGGATAGGTAGGTAGGCAAGTAGGTATTTGTATTCCACCAGGACATCACACAAGCGATAAACATCCGATGACACAGAGTGCCATCATACGGATGAGGATCACTTGTGGAGCGGTCCAGAAACCCCTATCAGTCGTTAAAGATATATCTATGGCCAGGCCATATTTATGAACGGCTATATGCAGGGCTCCCGCAGAAGCCAGGGTGGGTCTTCAAAAAACAAAAAAATTGCATCCAACATGAGGACCACTATGTTGAACTAGATTAGGACGACATCCGATGGTTGTTCTAAAGTCCATGCAGTGTGACGTTGGTAGTTCTTTCTATCCACAACCTTCTCTCTCGTGGACTTCCACTCAACTATGACACAGACGATCCTCCATGTCATGACGTCAAACTATCCAGCATCTTCTCTCTCGGTTATTTTATGCCTCTCTTCCCCTCCAGCGTTTTCACTGTCACGATGTACTCCCGTTTTCTCCTTCACATTATATGACCCAAACAAATAAAGAATGTCTCCTTTTGACGTAGGCAGTAAGTTTTCTTCATGAGTCAATTTCTTTCAAGACTTCAGTACTATTTGTACCTGTCCATGTCTCATCATTTGTCTATAAAACCACATCTCTGCAGCTTCCAAATTATTTCTACTTTGGTTAACATGAAGGAAAACTGTGGTCCCAGCCGGCATGTAAGTCTATTGTTATATTAGCACGCATTTTTAAAACAAACTACAGATTAATCGTTCCCTTGGACTTCATGTAACTGAGATCTTACGGTATTAAAATAACATTGTAAAGTTGAGAGATTGTACCACAAAACCCTTAAATTTTTCCGCAGAGTCGGGGAGAATACAGGGAAAACTCGTTAACACAAACTTGCTGAAGAAGAACATTTGGTTAACGTGAACAAACTTCTGGTCCCAGCAGAGCTGTATTATTATTATTATAGTACCCAGCTAGAAGAATTTTTTAACACAAATTTGAAATCAGGTTGCCTGAAATTCGTGTTACAGGCTTTTACTGTGCTACCGGGAAACATGTACACAGTGGGGCATCAACAGTTGAGAAATTCAGATAAGAGAATTAGTAACCATGGAAATGAGATTATGAGAATGGCTGCAGGAGGGACCAGAAAAGAGGAAATCAGGAATAAAGGTTAAAGTCGAGAGGATCGACTTCAATGCATCGGTTTTTATCATATATGGCTCGTTCTCTCCACAGAACGGCTAGCGCCTGTCGAGAGCATTGCACAAAGTACGAACTCCATAGCTCCGGCGACGATTCCGAAGGATCTCTGTAAAAATTGCGCGTGTGAATTGAAGGACGCAGCCACAAAACGAGCCCACGACCTTCAGAGGCAAACGGCTTGACCACTTCGCCACAGAGACTCCCAAAATCAGACATGGGGTGATAAGAGAATAAGCTGGCACAGAACCAAATCTAAATTATACACAGACAGCAAATCAAATTGTTTGCTTACTTAGAAAGAGAATGCTTTGTGGCGTCATGCCAGACAAGAAATACACCAAAAGAGATATTCAAAAGGGTAGGAAATTATAGGGAAGAGAAGAAAAGGGGTAAGAAAAACAAATAGTATATGTGAGCTTTACAAAATAGATCACAATAAACAAACAAAAGACGTTGTGGCGATAAACCTTCATTAGCACAACACAGCACACATACACAAATATTCACTAACTATGAAGTGAATACACAGGACTATAATGTACTAAATAAATTATTTTCATCTGTGTCACTGGCGAAAAACTTCATTCAAGAGGATTAAAATGACAGGTACTAACTTATATATCGCAACCGAAAGAAGGAAGAATAAGAAAGAAAGAAGGAAGAAGAAGAAGGGAGAAGAAAAGAAAAGAAGAAGGAAGAAGAAGAAGGAAGAAGAAGAAGGAAGAAGAAGAAGAAGGAAGAAAAAGAAGGAAGAAGAAGAAGGGAGAAGAAGAAGGGAGAAGAAGAAGGGAGAAGAAGAAGGGAGAAGAAGAAGGGAGAAGAAGAAGGGAGCAGAAGAAGGGAGAAGAAAGAAAGAAAGAAAGAAAGAAAGAAAGAAAGAAAGAAAGAAAGAAAGAAAGAAAGAAAGAAAGAAAGAAAGAAAGAAAGAAAGAAAGAAAGAAAGAAAGAAAGAAAGAAAGAAAGAAAGAAAGAAAGAAAGAAAGAAAGAAAGAAAGAAAGAAAGAAAGAAAAGAAAGAAAGAAAGAAAAGAAAGAAAGAAAGAAAAGAAAGAAAAGAAAAGAAAGAAAAAGAAAAGAAAAAGAAGAGAAGAAAAAAAAAAAGAAAAAAAAGAAAAGAAATGAAAAGAAAAGAAAAGAAAAGAAAAGAAAAAAAGAAAGAAAGAAAGAAGGAAGAAGAAGAAGAAGGAAAAAGAAGAAGGAAGAAAGAAAGAAGAAAGAAGAAGACTTACCTTCGTCATCACATACAGATGGTTCAACACAACATGGTCTGGCGGCGGCAACAAAATCGAATCAGCCTGTAATGAATATTTCAACAACAATTAAATGCTGCAGTGACAGGACAGTTTGTGGAACAGTTGCAAGGATTACAAACACTCCAGAAACTCAGTGACCAGGCTTGCATGTAACAGCTTGTAACGTGTTACGCCCAGAACACAGCAAAACGAACACTTCCTGCGTGATTACAAAAGGGCTCCTTTCAACGCCTTTAAGCGTACTGGGCATATAAGGTTAGACCTACATTTTATAGACCTATCATCACTCGGCAGGTGATGTGATCAACATCATATCAGCCGCATTTACTTCCCAGAATTCTCCCTGTTAGCCTTTCAGGGCTGGGTCGACCAGGTGTCATGTAATTTTTGAAAGAAAAAGTCCGGCGAAGTCAGGACCCGAATTCACGACCTTCGTCTAACCGCTGCTAAATTTTAACACCCTGATGCAAAAACTAACGCGTGAAAGCAACCAGTTACAAGTACTACAACGCTAGCTGTGTACGCGTATTCTCAAAAGTGAAGCGACAACCAGAAATATGATACGTGATAATCTCTCCAGTGTAATCGTTACCTGCTAACGCTTATATGCGCGAAGTGATCACGACTCGCCACTGATTAAACCTCTTCAGTGTGTATTAAGTGACACCTTGAGCACTGAGGGGTTTAAAACCTTACATTTTCATTTGACATTATGACTACAATGTAACTTACGAGGCACACCGGCGGCCTAAGTTATTGTGAATTTCTTTATTTACTGCGACAATCGGTGTAAGTAAACTTTCGCTGGAATTATATTTCTGTGAAAATGTTGTTCCTTTTACTTGCCTTGAAAATGTAATTTAAAAAAAATGCATTGTTATCTTTCTTGAAATCACATATCTTTATGTGCTTTAGACGATACGTTTGTCTGTCTCCCAAAATGTTAAAATACTGGTGTTAGTATTGCAGGGTATGCCTCGGGTGCACTTATGGGGCAACGACTAAAGATACGGAAGCGGTGGAGAGAAAGATGAAGCAGATACGGGATATAAAATATAGGCTTCTAGTTAGACGCCTATTTCCACTAGGCCTAAACATAAAGCAGCGGTGGTGACCAAGATGAGGTAGAGGACGGAAGAATAAGAATCTTTTCGACTATTCCAGGCTAAGCCGAGCAATTAAATATAATATTTCATAAATATAACACCGCGGCCTTTACTTTCCATGATATTTCCTGGTGTCCGTTTTAGGCTTGGTCTGGATACAGAGATACTGAACCCCATGTGGTAGTGCACCAGGACGGGGGCTGATACCGCTTAAGATCCATCTACACTTGTACACCGTCACCCTAAAAACAGATTCCCAGTCAACGAAGATAAGATCGACGTTTTCTTCGAAGCCGGAATACTTCTGCCAGAGAGGTGAAGAACCAACAATCTGCACACACAAAAGCCAGCCAGATCTGTAAAACTCGATACGCACATAAAATCAAGTGCTGGCACAAGACCAAATTTCAGAAGTGGACGAACCTCAGTGAGTTTCCGGTTAAGTTTACAGCTGGTAAACAACAAATGGAATGGAAATGGGCATGTGGAGAATTTATCTACGTGTGCACACAAAAAAAACGGGACCTGATTAGAACCCTTTGACGCCCGCACCCCCCCCCCCCTTTTCCCTTTGTTTAGTTGGAACGCCAGACAGTTTAACCATGTGTTAGTCGAGGTTTCTATTTCACTGTAGACAGGTTGTCCCATAAGTGTAACTTGCATGTGCCAGTGGAAATCACAGGAAATATCCCTCGCGGTCCTATATGAAAACCAGTGAAAACAGATTAGCCCCTGTATAATCTTGAAGCTCGCACACGTAAAAAAAAAATGCACAAGGCAGCCGTCATATGTGTCAACACCAACAGTCTTCAAAAAACACCAGTCTCCCACCAAAACAGCAGATAAAGAGAGATGAGGAGAACAAAGTGGTTTGAGAGAGGAAAGGAGCTGGGGAGAGGATTAGAGCTTGGGAGAGACGAGATCTTGGGAGGCTGGGAGCTGGAGAGAGGCTGGCAACTGAAAAGAGATAGGGAACTGGAGAGAGGCCGGGAGCTGGAGAGAGGCCGGGAGCTGCAGAGAGGCCGGGAGCTGCAGAGAGGCCGGGAGCTGCAGAGAGGCCGGGAGCCGGAGAGAGGCCGGGAGCTGCAGAGAGGCCGGGAGCTGCAGAGATGCCGGGAGCTGCAGAGATGCCGGGAGCTGCAGAGAGGCCGGGAGCTGCAGATGCTGGGAGCTGGTGAGAGGCTGGGAGCTGGAGAGAGGCTGGGAACTAAAAACAGGTAGGGAGCTGGAGAGAGAGGCCGGAAGCTGCAGAGAGACAGGGAGCTGCAGAGAGACCAGGAGCTGCAGAAAGGCTGAGAGCTGGAGAGAGAGAGAGGGAGAGAGAGAGGGAGCTGGAGAGAGACCGGGAGCTGCAGAGAGACCGGGAGCTGCAGAGAGGCTGAGAACTGGAGAGAGAGAGAGAGACACAGAGAGAGAGAGAGAGAGAGAGAGAGGGAGGGAGAGGGGGAGGGAGCTGGAGAGAGAAGTAGTTGGAAAATAATTTTGGAGAAGGGCAAGTATATGTATGGAGGCTGGTATGCAATGTAATGTTTTTGGAGAGTGACGGGTTTGTACTTAATATTACTATAAGCAAGGAGGGACTGTCAACATTAACAATGGGGGAAAAGGTGGGGGGAGGGGAATGCTTACGTCACCAGGTGTAGGATTATTCAAGATGATCTGCGTCATCTGGCGTGGCAAAGTAGGCGGGTCTTGTTTCGGTGAAGGTGTTTTCTTGGGCACTTCTTGGTCATAACATAAGCAATCAAATGCTGTTGAATTTAGAGAAAAACAAGTAACAACATTAAAGTTAGTCGTCATGTTATTCGCACTGCACATCGGACCTTTCAGTCCATAAATGCGCGGATCCCCTCTTCAGTAAATCACCCTGTATGTAGCGGCTGACGACACCAATTCTGGGATTGTCTATTATTCTTCCTAGGCTTTCTGCGCAGTGCTCTTGTCAGGCTACAACACTTTTAACATATTGCTCTTGCAGTCTGGTCATGGTTGCAGAGTCACGTCATCACTTGGTTCTCGTAAACGTCTTGATTCTTTTAAGAGAATTCAGAATATCAGCCTGGTCCATGGCTCGCCCGTTCTCTACAGTAGCTTCACCAGCAAACCTATCAGCTTGCTCATTTTCTTGCACACCTGCATGCCCTGACACGAATACAAAACTGATATTTCTCAGCCTTTATCTGCCACAGAGACTCCAACCACTGTCTTCAGACCCAGTCGATCGCTATCTTCCTGAGCCTACACACTGAGTCACAGACTAAACATGCACGGGTAAAGGCCTGCGTCCCAGCCATGTCACTGTTTTGCTCACTGCATATCCGTGTAAGTAGATTACATTGATTACCTGAGAATGATCTCGAACAGTGGTTCTCAAACAGTCAAGACCTGCGGGCGACTCTAATCATGGAAGGTCTGCTGCGGACTCCATCCTTTTTTTTTAGAACAGTGTAATGAAGAAACTGGGAGCCGCCGTGGTGTAGCGGCTAGATGCTGGCATACGATTCGGAAGGGTTCGGGTCCTAACAGCACTAGAGTTTGTTTTTTCAAACTTGACCATGGCACCCAGGTGGACCAGGTCGACCCAGGTCGACCCAGGTCGACCCAGGCTTAAATGAGTGACAGGTAGGCTACTGGGAAGTAAAGACGGCCGACGTGATGTGGCTAAATTACCCACAAAGTGTTGATAAATCTATAAAATCTATGTCTAGCCTTATATGCCCAATGTGCCTAAAGGGGCGAAATGGAGGTCTTTACTATTGATACTGATGATGACTTTATGAATATGACTGACACACATTGCATCCGAGATGCAAACAGCGGCGAATGGACAGTGAGAAGCAACAAAGAAATTCATAATCTGTATAAATCACCATTGATCACTGATATGAGGGCTAACAGATTGAAATGGCGAGGGCATTTCGAGAGAATGATAGAGAGGTACACATTGTAAACTTCAGGAAGTTGATTGGTCGTAGACCACGATGCGGACAAAAAAAAAAAAAAGACTATGAAGAGGTAATGTCCACACAAACCTACAAACACTTAGTGTCACCTACTGGAAACAGAAGAGGCGGGCGATGTTTGAACCCCAGGGCTCGGAATGCTGAAGAAGAGAATATTCCAGCTGAGATTTTGTTTTGAATAAATGATTGCATTAGCTCCGCTGATCTCCGTGGACATTCGGACCAGCATATATAAAAGACAATATGGGATGCAATTTCTCGTTATTTCCAGGCCCCATCCCTGGTGTAGTCGGTTGAACGGGGTTTCTAGGACTTGGGCCCAGGTGATCCTCATCCGAATGTTGGCACTTTGTGTCACCGGATGTTGGTCACTCGTGCGGTCCTGGTAGGGGTTAACGACACCCACACTCACCCACCCACACACACGCGCTAGCACGCACGCACGTACGCACACATGCGCTGGCACACCCACCCACCCAGTGTCCAGTGATGTCCAGTGATGTGTTGTCAACTCTAATTTTCATTCATTCACACACTATAATTTTTCTTACCGTCTGTTTCTCTATCCATTGCCAGGGTTGAATAGATTAGATACTTCGACCTAACCTCCATGTAATTCGTCTCCTGCTTCTTTGTGTAAAATCGCTTCTCCTAGAAGAGACAAAACATGGAAAAGAATCTAAAGAGCTGGACTTGATTCTACTAGAGCGGTGTGCTATTACTACTATCAGCGATTCTACTAGAGCGGTGTGCTATTACTACTATCAGCGATTCTTCTAGAGCGGTGTGCTATTACTACTATATCAGCACCACTCATGCACCTTACTTGACTACCGCAACACCACCACCATTTCCCTCCTCCTCCATCACAACACCTCTCATTGTCACCAGCATTGACTTTAGCTCCTATGGTTGACACCAGAAACTTACTTGACTACCGCAACACCACCACACACAAGGTATCACACACATAATCTTACTTGAACTACTGCAACACCTTCACACCAGAAACTTACTTGACTACCGCAACACCACCACACAAGGTTGACACTATAAACTTACTTGACTACCGCAACACCTCCACACATTGTTGACACCATAAACTTACTTGACTACCGCAACACCACCACACAAGGTTGACACAATCTTACTTGACTACCGCAACGCCCTCCACACATGGTTGACACTATAAACTTACTTGACTATCACAACACCTCCACACATGGTTGACACTATAAACTTACTTGACTATCACAACACCTCCACTCATTGTTAACACTATAAACTTACTTGACTATCACAACACCTCCACTCATTGTTGACACCATAAACTTACTTGACTATCACAACACCTCCACTCATTGTTGACACTATAAACTTACTTGACTATCACAACACCTCCACTCATTGTTGACACTATAAACTTACTTGACTATCACAACACCTCCACACATGGTTGACACCATAGACCAACTTGACTATCACAACACCACCACTCATTGTTGACACCATAAACTTACTTGACTATCGCAACATCTCCACTCATGGTTGACACAATACAAGTAATAGTGATCCCCTTCTGGCAGATTCAGAATCATGTAGAAGGTTCCATCACTGAAAGTAAAGGTAATATTTAAGGCTACTATTGTTTGAATCTACAGACTGAGTTAATCTAAATACAGAACAGTAACCATCTGAAGTTAGCTGAAGAGTTTATCTTTAGGCATCTCTGGAAGTCGGCGTGGTGCAGCGGCCAGAGCAGGGCTATTCAACTGGCGGCCCGCGCGCCAAATTTGGCCAGCAGTGGCGCAGCAAGTGGCCCGTGAATCACTGCTAACTTGACTGCATTAAAACGCTCTCTATGCTTTAGCTCGGGGCTTCTGGTGCGTGACGATTCGCATTTTTGGTTCCGGTGTAAACATAGTTAATATCCCTGCCTAGGGACTATCAGCGGTGTTTCTCAACAATGGAAGTTATTAAATTGCAACTAGGGTTAGTTAAGATGCGCTATAATCATCTTCTTCTTGCGTTCACCAGCTGTAAACTCTGGTGGAAAGTTCTGGTTGTTCGTCCACTTCTGGACTGCAGTCCTGTTCCAGAACCTAAATGTTGCGTGTGCATCCGTTTGATAGATCTGCCTCACTTGTGTGCAGACTGTTGGTTCCCTGCCTCTCAGGCAGATGCACTCCGACTTCGAAGAAAGCTCCCAATTAGTAGACTCTTACGACATGCCTTTGGGTAGGCAGTGGGTCTATTCTTGTTTTCCCCATAATAGGGCCCCGGAACCCACACGGGGAGCTATAATCATCCTAGACACATCTGCCTGATAGGCAAGGAGAAACTACAGGTCTGTAAGAGGTATGTAACACAAATCTCAGATCCTGGGACAAAGTCGAGAAACTGACGAACAATCGGGATCTTCCACTGAAGTTTGATTCTTGAAGAACCTCGTCATTAGTGTGTGTGTGTTTTTTTTTGTGTCCGTATTGTTTGCATTTCCTTCAAAATCCAGTTCATCGATCGATTTGTCTCTTAGCTAACCCACACAGCCAGTTCAACCTCCACAGAAGTTATAATTAGGGCACGAGTAACGACCATATCAGCCTGGTGTCACCTGCAACAGTTCAAGGACCTTCAAAAACCACAGTTCTATTCCCGTTAAAGACTCAGCCAAGACTGGTGATCATTCGTGATGCTGAACCTTGATCAATCGATGCTGAACCTTGATCAATCGATGCTAAACTTTTATCAATCGATGCTAAACTTTGATCAATCGATGCTGAACCTTGATCAATCGATGCTAAACTTTGATCAATCGATGCTAAACTTTGATCAATCGATGCTGAACCTTGATCAATCGCGCTTCCCCCTCCCAAGCCCACCTTTTTTTCTCTTTGTCAATTGTGTGAGTGTGTGTGTGTGTTAGAGAGAGAGAGAGAGAGAGAGAGAGAGAGAGAGAGAGTCCAATTGTGGCGTGTGTATGTGTTTTTGACTAATTGTGCCGTGATTATGTTGCCCCGTTCATCAACACATTTAACTTCAGAGCTACAGCCAATTTTAAAAAAAAAGCTGTCTGTCTTTTTTTTTTAAAGCCCCCCCCCCCCCCCCCCATTTTTTCTTTAAAATCCCCTCAAAATAACAAATCATGTGGTCAAAACATCTAAAATTTAAAATAAAAATTAAAAAAAAAATATTGTATGGATGTAAACATGGAAAACGGCTGCCACAAAATGGCTGCTTCAATCGTTACCTTGGGACTAAAGGAATCTTGGTCGCCCAGTTGTCAAAACTGCCTGCAATAAACACATGCCTAGCCACACCCTCCCAGCAGAACAAGGCAGGATACAGATTCGCTCTCTGGATGGTGATATATGCCTCGCTAGGCGGCAGAAATGCCCTGCTAGGCGGCAGAAATTCATCGCTAGGCGGCAGAAATTCCTCGCTAGGCGGCAGAAATTCATCGCTACGCGGCATAGATGACTCTAAAGATGGCAACGACACGGATTCACCCAACGTAGAATCGGTTTCAGAAACTAGTAAGCATTCCTCGCTAGGTGCCGGTGTGGTTTCTTCGCTGTAGTCCCTGAAGGGCTGCTGGCCCGGTGGCAAGATAACAGCTCCATCGAGCTAGAAATAGGAAACATGGAAATAAAACAAATTACTGCGTTTCCCTTTAAAGCAGTGGTCACCAATCCTTTTCAGGTCGTACCCCCTAGAGTATATGACAAGACCTCCACACCCCTTAGAGTATATGACAAGACCTCCACACCCCTTAGAGTATATGACAAGACCTCCACACTCTCTTAGAGTACATGATAGACCTCCACACCCCTTAGAGTATATTACAAGACCTCCACACCCCTTAGAGTACATGATAATACCTCCACACCCCTTAGAGTATATGACAAGACCACACCCCCTTAGAATATATGACAAGACCACACCCCTTAGAGTATATGACAAGACCTCTACACCCTTAGAGTACATGATAAGACCTCCACAAGCCCTTAGAGTATATGACAAGACCAGACCCCCTTAGAGTATATGACAAGACCACACGCCCTTAGAGTACATGATAAGACCTCCACACCCCTTAGAGTACATGATATGACCTCCACACCCCTTAGAGTATATGACAAGCCTCCATA